AAAAACGATTTTTATTTTGGACAGTACACTAACCCTCTTTTTTTGCCTTAACTTCTCCCAACCACATACCTGCAATTCAAAATTAATAATTTTTACTTGGTTTAATACCCAATTTGGTCCTTAAACTTTCATTTGAGAACTTTGTTCGTCCTTTAACAAATGAAAGCACCCAAGTTGTCCTTTAACTTTATTTATTTGGAACCCAAATGGTCCTTCCGTCACGGAAGTGCCCAGTTGGCACATTAACTTGCCACAAATTAATCCTTTTATTTCAGAAAAACTTACGTGGAAAAAAAATGATGCTTTGGTAATCTTAATATTAATCTTTCCCTTATCTTCAACCCCCATCCCTCTCTGCCATTTTTGTTCCTTTTCCTGTTCTCCAGCACCGACATCAACACCAATACCAGCGGCATCATTCTTTCCCTTTCTCATTTTTCTCTCTACTCTCCACATAAAAAGTTTGAGATTTTATTCATCTTCATAACAAAAACATACAATACTTCAAAGGGGTAGATATTGATCTCATTACATGGTAGAAATGATACAGAGCGCAGATCAAAAGAGAGATGAAACCTGCAAAAACTAGGACCTGGTGAAAAAAGCAACTCATTTAGGAGTTGTGATGACAGACACTAAATTGCTGCCATGGCCAAAGCCCATAAAAAGCAAGGCACCAAAACTCTTGACTGTGAAAAGCATGGTGGAAGTGAAGACTTCAACCTACCCTTTGAGCAAAACAGAGGATCGAACTATCATGTGAAGAACTAGTGGAAACACTGCCAACTTCGTAGTGAGATGACTGGGGGGGAAGAAAAGCTTAGCCCAAAGATGAGTTGGCAAGACCAAGCTAAAACAGTAGGTGCTAGCACCCAGCAACATAAAAAAGCTAAAATCAAAGAAACATGGCCTAAAATTCAGGACCCAGTAACTGTGTTCTTAGGGATTTTGGCCAAAAAGAAATCGACGCCCATTTGTTGGGCAAAATATATTAACAAATTTCTGTTAAACAGAAATTTGCAAAAAAAAGAGAGAGAAAAAAAAGGATAGAATGGCCATATTCCCTAGAAAAGGGGACTGAGCACTAGATGACAGAAGACCCATAGCAGATGGACCCAAAAACTAAACATAATGCGATCACTCACAAAACTAGTTTGAGGCATTGCAAGACTCATACCTCAGGCATTGTTATTTGGAGGGTCTACCCTTCCTATTCAGAAATTGCTCAGAAAAGGATATCACACCTCCATAACTGCTCCATGAGCATATCAACTGCACTGCTGCTAACTCCATTGCAACATTGCAAATTTAATCCCAAGAGGCTCTGGTGTTCGGAGAAGAAATTGTAAAGGATTTAAGGGTCGAAGAAGGAATCTAGGGTTCGGAGAAGAAATTGCAGAGAGAAGGAATGGCTAATGTCGGTGCTGGAGAACAGGAAAAGGAACAAAAATGGCAGAGAGGGATGGGGGTTGAAGATAAGGGAAAAGTCAATATTAAGATTACCAAAGCATCATTTTTTTTTCCACATAGTTTTTCTGAAATAAAAGGATTAATTCGTGGCAAGTTAACGTGTGAGCTGGGCATTTCCTTGACGGAAGGACCATTTGGGTTCCAAATAAATAAAGTTAAAGGATAACTTGGGTGCTTTCATTTGTTAAAGGACGAACAAAGTTTTCAAATGAAAGTTTAAGGACCAAATTGGGTATTAAACCTTTTTACTTCTTCAAAAGGAATTGCCACTTAGCCATTTAGGCAAAACCCAATTCCACACTGCCCATAGGCCCCAAACTCAATCCATGACTCCGCCCAAACAT